TTTTCTCTTCTCCTTCCTTCCTTCCTTCCTTCCTTCCTTCCTTCCTTCCTTCCTCCCTCCCTCCATCCCTCCCTCCGTCCCTCCTCCCTCCCTCCTCCCTCCCTTCCTGTTGAGCCTTTTTTCAACCCAAGCACATAGCAGCACTTACTGGACTTGTTCATCATTTTATTAATTGATTGGATTGGCAAGGCTGGCTAATTCTCAGACAACCTAAGCCACTCTGAGCTAGTCAGTTCTTGCATGGAAGTCTACAGTATTAGGAGATCTGCATGCTGCAGGCTAGACTGGAAAGGTGAAGAAGCACTTCAGGAGAGGGCAATAGCAAATCATGGCCAGGCGCTGAGCTCAACTTGAAGGCTTCTTTTATTTTTTTTAAGCCTCTCTTAAGAGTATGTCACACATTTTTCCCCCTTTTCCAAAAATACGCAAAGCCATTAAAATTTTAGTAGGAAATGAAGCCCTTGGGTGATTTTCAGCCATAACTTGATGACAGAATTAATTACCTGTTTGTGCCATATATACTCCTGGTTCATCTGCTGACCGTGGCCACTGTGTTTTCACCTTTTGATCTTCTTGCACACCACCACCTAAAAAGATGGAGAGAACCATGAACAGCTGTGCAAGCCTCATATCTAGGGGAGTGAGTGGAGACCTTACCACCAGGGAGAGGCACATGCAAATTTCTTTTCATTACGCAAAACACTCTTCCATTTCTACTGGTATTCAGACAGGATGTCAGCATCAACCACAGCAATGTTTATGCACTTTAGCAAGGAACATGAAAGAGGCAGTTCCCCCCCCCCCCCCCAAAGCGTTCAATGTAATCTTCAAACCAGGAGTGCCCTCTGGATGGCAGGAAGAAGGGAAAAGGGTGTGATGAGGAATGGAACTGTAGAAGGCATTCCTTATTTCACAGGGACATGTATTTAGGGTCAATTTCCATACAGGACTGATGAAATGTGTCAAAGATTTATAAAAAATGGATCTGAGATTTGAAGAAAAGCAGTATCATGCAAAGACTATCAGAGGTACTTACAGGCGTCAGAATAAATAGCCAGCCCTACATACTTTGGACCAAGAAGAAAGATGGAGAGGGATACAAAGATATTTATAAGATGGGAGAGAGAACGGGTAAAGACCCATTTTTCACCTCTGAAATTCTAAAATATCCAGTGAAACCAACTTATATTAGGATTTAGCAAGAATAATGATATTCCTCGGAATGTTTCTAAACTACCCAAATGGGTATTCAGAATAACGACAACACTCCAAATGACTAATCTCAAACAACTTAACAATTTCTTGACACTTAAGTCAAGAAGGACCCGACATAGGTTCTGAAAGAGAGCAAAACCAAGAAATGATGAAGGACGGAGTTAGCAAAAACTTCACCTGTCAAAGTGGAAATGTGACATCCAGGAGTAAAAGACCAGTTAAGGGATCTCCTTGCTGTCTGCCCACCTCACACTCCACACTCTAATACATAACAAGATATGCCTACAAAAAGGAAGATGGTCTCCATTCAGAGCCATCAAGATGGTAGCCATAACAATGTGACTGAAGCCTTGCCCTCTTTTCACATAGGTTGTGGACGCCTTCAATTGTGCAGTCACAGCAACCACCTTGACTCTTTTGACCTCCCAAGGCAGATTCCCCTGTCACTGTGGTCTGAAAAAAAGTAAGTTTATAAGAAATTGAAGTTGTGCCATATTCCTCTGTTAGGCATCACCGCGAGGACAGGAGGGAACACGGGGTCAAGTACCACAAAACAGATGCCACGGTGAATGTGCAGTTTCATAAAAAAAAAAAAACTCTGCCATATCAAAGGGCCTCAAACTACATCAAAACATGGCAAGAAAAATGTTCAGCTCAGACCTATGTCAACGAGTTCAAAGTAAGATTGTACAAAACTATATGTTAACAGCTGATTCTTACTCACTACTGTGGGAGGACGAGTTGGGAAGAGGGCATCTTGCTCCACCTTGACTCCATGCAGGACTTTTCCCTGCCATTATTGATTATTAATAAGAATGCCATTATTCCTCTGCCATTCTAACATGCCTTCATGGAGGAAACCATTTGCGGGTGAGTCTGGTAAAGCAACTCTGCCATATCCTCCATGGAAGATAGTTTGCTGAAGGTGGTTTATGGCTTTAGAAAACCTTCCCCAGACTCATTACCAATGTTCCTTTCACTTCCCAGAATCCCTAGCTGGCTCAGGAGGAGGAGGGGAGGGGGCCAAAGCCCAGGAGCAGGAGCTTTGCAGGAGGAAGGTCCAACTCCTTTATTGCTTTCTTCAATAAAAATAGATCTGGCAGGAGGTGGTAGGGAAGACAAGCAAGCAGTCTCGGACACACGAGGCACGGATTTCTGTTCTAGGCAAAGTGGTGTCTATCCTGCTGTGGTGACTGTCCTCTGAATACTTTCCCTTTTGCACGCTGCGGGCTGCCTTTTCCCATCCTTCCACTGGGCACTTCTGCAGTTCTGTCTTCTTCTGCAGGAGATAAAAGAAGTGGCGGAGACTAATGATGTATAGGGCAGCAGCATGGAGCTGAAGATCTGAAGTTCTCATCCAGGGAGTGCTACTCCATGAATACAGATAAAGGAAGCCCCTGAAAGGAGTGACCGGGAAAATGCAAAGAGTTGTGTATGTGTGCATATCTGTGTGTGTATGTGTGTGTATGAGAGGAGGGGGAGGGGAGAGAGAAATGTAACAATTCAAAGAGAAGATCATCCATCAGTGTGTTTTCCAGATATGGTATTAAGGGGGTACCTTTGCCTAGGCCAAAGTATGCTATGAAAGCCGGAAGTGGGCTGAGATCTCTGATTAACAAAGCTGGTCCGATTAAAGACACAGGTAATGTTTCTACAGAACAGTAAGCCATGATCTTGACAAGCCCTGATAGACCCTGAATGAATGTCCCACTTCTGGCTTCTTTGCTCTTGTTGGCCTCCTTCCAGTGCCTAACACTCCAGAAAGCACTTTCCTAGTCCAGGGGTGGTCCATGTGTGCTCCAGATGTTGCTGAACCAGAACACCTAGCATCTCTCATCACTTCACACACTGTCCCTGTTAGAAGCTGTGATTCAGCAACAACTGGATGTCCAAAAGTGACCATTCAAACAGAAGATTCCGATTTTTTTTTGTTGGTTTTTCTGAAGAAGCCAGGATTTATAAGTTAAAAACAGCCCTCTGTAATTCAATGCCTTCCGAGCATGTTGGAGCTACAACTCCAGCATCATAGTCCTGAAACAGACAGGTCTGGAAAGGTAGGTGAGAACAAAACTGGTTTATCCAGCTAAATGAACAACCCTGTCTTTATTTCAATGAACTCAGAGGGATCAGCTACTTGTAGTCCATGTTTAAAATTACTACATAAGGAATTAGTTTGGACTTCTGGGGGACAGGCAATTCTCTTAGTCCACTCCGAAAGGATATGCATACATGGAGCACTGCAAATAGAGGACATCACGCAGATCCTCTTGGACTGCCAACTACATGCTTCAGCCAGAGAACAGCATTTAAAGCCACATTGAGAAGACAACGCATTGGGACCCCATCGTACCTCCTTCAGGGGACAAACACTGGGCAGTCAGAAATCTCCCCCTCTCTCACAAGGGGGAGATCTGGCAGGCCTCCCCCTCTCCTAGCTTTCCCAAAAGCAATTAAGAGCTGTTTGTTTTTTTTCCTCCACACACTGGGATGCCAGGTTTATTTATTTATTTATTTGGCAGATTTATATAGCCGCCCATCTCACAGAATAGGACTCTGAGCAGCGTACAACCGCAGGGATAATTAAAACAGTATAACAATCATTAGAACACTAAAGAACAAATAAAAATAAAAAGCAGAAAAACCAAGATGGTAGGAGAATACCAATCAACTCATATAATACAACCTTGTATAACAGGCTCCTCAAACCTTGGCAACTTTAAGATGGGTGGACTTCAACTCCCAGAATTCCCCAACCAGGAGTTGAAGTCCACCCGTCTTAAAGTTGCCAAGGTTGAGGAACCCTGTTGAATAATACATGAAAGGTTGGAGCCCAGGGGATTCTATAGCTGGATGGATGTTGTTGGAAGATCAGATTGTGATCAAGGGGATGATCTGATCTGATCTGATTATTTTACTGAATATTTTTATATATTCCAATACTCTGTATTAGTTTTGCCCTATTTTACTATCCTGATTATGTGTTATGATTCGATATGGTCATCTGACTAATCGATAAACAATAAACTGAAATCGAACCTGGTAAACAGGAGAATCTAGAATACAAACTCTCCCAGTTTGGAGAGCCTCAAAACAACATTGAGCCTAGTCCAACTCTGAATTCAGGGCTTGTTGAGGAGAAGAAGACAGCATCAAGCAGTAGCTCTTTGTTCCCCTCCTTTTCAAGGAGAAAAAAAGCTCTTAAGTTTGAGAAGAGGGCAGGCTTCCTTAGATACCTACACATCATTTCTTAAGGAGTATTGAACTGAAGCACCCTCATTCTCTAATGTTAATTCAAAAGGGAGAGTAATGATAAATCAGAATGAGAGAAAGAGAGAGAAAGACGGGGTTCACCCAATATTTTTTAACCTAGTCACTGAATTAATTCATTTTCTGGGTTTGCACAATATGACAAATCATAAAGTAACCAAATGGCCTGTAGTTACACAACATCCTAAGCTACAAGGTAACTAACCAAGCATGATTCTGGGGAGGCTGGAAAGGAACAGAAGGAAGAGTAGACAGAAACAATCAGGAGACAGAAGGCAAATCAGTTGATGATTCATCTCATAAACTTCTGAAGAAGCATTTCGAACCATTCAAAATGATTCCCCCTTAATTCAATCACTGAAAATTAGGGTGGCAAATTCCTTGGACAGGTTACAAGATTCTGTAGGTACCCCAGACTAGTGTTAAAGGCACCTGACTGAAATCTGAGTAGTTCTTCCTCTTTCGATCTTGCCCACTATTTAGACATCAGGTGAAAACTAACCATGTTGATCCTGTTGCTTAAATGTGACCAATCTAAGCACGCTGTGTGAACACAGTGACCATGAAGCAGATAGACAGATATACATCCTCCCTATGGTGACTCCCACTCACCACTCTCTGCCAGCAAAAAGGCACATGCAAATTAAATACAAGTTGGTGGAATGTCGTCAGCATGTAACCTTTTCCTTGGCTTCATCTCAATAGGTAATTAGCATAAGATGGAAACACCGCCTGTAAGGAGAAGAACTTGCTCACCACACCATAAAGCAGAGTATACTTCCTCTCCCGCACATGGGTGTCTAGCTCAGCAGCAGCTTGTCCTTCTTCATCCTCCCCCACCTCTAACATGCACTTAACAGATTGCTACAGTGAGATGTCACAAATTTATGGCACAGCTCACAAAAAATAACAAGAGATCCATCAAGACCACTTTGCGTGAAATTAACAGGAAAATCTAAGAGCACGACAAAGATGCACACTCAGCTGTAAGCCTAAAAGGGGGAAGGGGACGAAGGGGCCTTGGTGTTTTTCCCAGTTTAGATTTTACTCTAGAAAAAGAAGCTGTCTTCACTCAAGTTCCCAGCCCAGCAACTCCCTGTACAAA